GCAGGGAACAGATGTTCACGTGGTCCTGAACTGGCCTCCTCCTCCACTATGATGTGCAGGGAGGGGCAAAGATGAACTCGGACGCAGAAAGAGTGATGGAGAGGTGTTCAGGAAGTTGGAGAAGTTTCTTCCTGGGGCCTTTGTTTTATGTGTGAACAAGGAGGTGGCACCATTCTTAGATGAGTGGGTAGGGGTTGAAACAGTCAATGATGGAGAATAGGAAGGAGAGTTGGCCATTAGAAGAATCTCTGAGCCCAACTGAGAACTCGCTGAGGATGAAGGCTATGAGTATGCAGGGTCACATACCTGCGTCCTGCATCCATGCAGGATTTTCTCTCTGTATGCTCCACATCCTGAAATAGGAACAGCGGTGGTAAACACCATCAAGGAGGTTGTCAAAGAGGGGAGTACTGCAGTGTGAGCTCTCGAACATGGGGTGTTCTAGAGGATGACTGTGGCAAAGCTGAGGCTATAGGAGTGAAAGTCAAGAGGCGGGAAAGTCACTGCAGTTGAATTTGAAGCAACAAGAGGTGGAAATGTTGTCTGGTCATCCACACAGTTTTAGGTTCCTCATATGACATCAGGACTTGGGGCAGACGTAGGACAGAGCAGGCTCTGAGATATTCAAGGAGCATGGGGGTGATGGGAGGGAAAGCAGGTGATGACAATAAGGGGAGGTCAGAGGTGAGATTTTCCCACAACTTTAAAGGAACCATGCTATGAAGGTCAACCAATTGTCCCTCCCAGGGAACCATCTCACTCTTCCTCTCAGGGGTCCTGGAGGATCTCCCCATCCTCCCAAACACACACACACACACGCACATGCACATGCATGCACACACACACACACACCTTGATCCAACCAGAATGGATCTCCTCTTTTTTGTTTTAAGTACTGGGATTCCCCATAAGACTTCTTTTAGAAAGTGTTTTGCTACCCTTGTACTCAACCCAAGAATGAGCGCAAGGCCCCCAGCGAGCTGATGGAGATGCCCACTGCTGCATCCTTCTACAGAATCACACAGTGTGCACTCTCCCCCAGGACATAGCCCCCCCAGAGCAAATGCTCATTGATGGAGCATCCTCGTTAGGGCTGATGAGGTGAGTGCTGCTGGGGTCCAGCAGAGCTGGGCACTGTGGGGAGGGAGGAGCAACGGCCAGGGTGGGGCCGTGGGATTCCCTGGACATCTGTTAGGGACATGAGGAGGAGAAATGAGTAGGGGCAGGCCAGGGGGGACTCTGGTCGATAGTTCCAGTCTAACTAGGGAGCCCAGCTTAGTAAACAGGCAATAAAACTTGAGTTCCTTCCGTCTCTCACTGCACAGGACCTTAAATCATGGAGGAGTTTATGGGTCCTGTTTATGAAGAGACTTTTTATAAGCTATTCAGAACAGAGGTGGGAGGGAAAAATAGGGAGAGAAAGATTCCCTTTGAATTTCCATTGCTTTCAGAGTCAGCAATTTAATGAGTCATGCATTCTAAATCCTTGCTTTGTCTACACATTTTCATTTCAAAATACTAAAAAACACTTTGTTTGGAACATGGGCTATTTTTAGCTCATATATCAATAGTGCACATCCATTTCTCCCCTTATTAGAAAAGCTTCCTTTGGATCAGGTCGGAGCAGCACCGTGGCAGTGGGGTTGTTTACTTAGCTGTAGTTTGCCAAAGCTACCTGCGCATCTCTCTAATCCCAAAGACTTTCTTCCAGTGGGTCTCCTGGGCCTACTGACCGTTCATGAGTCAGCTTCAGACCTGGCCCAAAGAGCTCCAGATCCCAGAGTCTGGACAAAAAAAGGAAGAACATCCCTTCAGGCCTCCAGCCCGAGGGGTCAGCGCCTTGGTGGGCTAGAGACAAGCAGGGCTCCGTTGCTGTGTGTCCTTGCGAGACTCTTGAAGGAACAGAGCAGAAGAAAAGGAGTTCCCCATCGACGTCATCTCCTCCAGACACATCAAGGGGAAGCCTGGCCACATGGTGGCAAAGACAGAGGAACAGACAGTCTGAGGAATTCTGCAACCCTTCAGGCTCACAAGCGGGAGACCAGGCTGGGAAGAGGCTGGGAGGGGGTCCTACCTCTCTAGTCCCTGCCTCGGCATGAGGCCTCTCTCCACACTCCACTGAATCCATCTACTCTCGCCAGCCAACTACCCCACTGCTTTTGTCCCACCAGTGATAGCTCGCTCCTCTGGGTCTCCTGGGGGCCACCTTCTTTCAAAGGCTCCAACTCAGAGCATTAACTACAAGCGCCTTACCAGCACCTAATGGATAGCCAACCAAGTTCAAGAATGGAATATAAAACCAATGTCTGAAGGAATTGGGATGAGGAAGTGCCCCACTTCTCTGGTCACTGTCTCTCCACCTTTCCCATCCACACATTTATAGTGAAAGCAACCGTGCGCAGACCCTCTGACCCTCCTCCCCTGGGCACTGTTGATTATAAGCCTGTTTCCAGGGAATTTGGGATTGAGACCACACTAATTCCCAGCTGAGGCCAGCTGCCAAATTGACAGGGATCATTTTCATATGGGCAGGGAAACCGAAGAAGTGTAGACAGACAGAAAGAAGCAGCTTTCTCGGGTTCTTTACATCCCTGAGGCTTCGGATTCTATGAGATAACTCCCTCCCCGACCCCTGCCTGGGATCTTCTGCTAGGATGTCAGATGTGTCTCTTTTCACTTAGGAGAATTCCACTGGACTTCAGTTACCAACCACCAAAACGGTCCCAGGAGGTGTGAAAATTCCCTGGGGCGGGAAGACAGAATGATGCACGGAGAAGGCTCCTCCTGACTTTATAATTTTGCCTACCCTGCCCATGTGAGGCACAACCGCCGGGGCCCAGGCTGGTTCAGGTCTGAGGCCCTGATGCTCTGTGAGCTACCTGAAGGAGGCTCCCAGCCGAGGAACTGGACGACAGAGGGGGAAGTGTACTCTGAGAGACCTCACCACTGGACCTTCATACAAAAACATGTTCCAGGTGGGCTGTGTTCCCTTTCCCCTCTGCGTCCAACTTCTGGTGCCGAGACCGAGACCACGGAACTCCATTCCTTGGCCCCATCTCATCCGTCTTCCTTTTTGCTGTCTCTCTGCCCACTACACAAAGAAATCTTTGAGAAATGTGTGTGTATGCGCCAAGGAAGGAGTAAGCACAAGTGTTATGAGTGTTGGGGTGTGGGTGTGCATGTGTGATGGGAAGAAGCCAGGAACCCTAGAGGCCCTCAGCCCGGTGGTCCAGGAAGAGTTCGCGCTCTCCCCCGAGGAGAAGCTGATGGCTTGGGAGCAGCGGATTCATTCTTCTTGGGCTACTGCTACGCCTAGAGGCAGGGACAACTCAACTGTCTAATTCATGCCCATCACAGGTTTGGCCTCAAAGTTCTAAGCCCCAAAGTCACAGGAACAAAGGGGGAAATATTTTTTACCGTGCACGTATGTTGAGCGTAAAGGGTTTCTGACTCCATCCGACTTCTTCGTCTGTTTGCTGCACGATAATCTTCACGTTCACTGAGGTGGGCAGCTGCCCTTTTCCTCTGTATAATCAGCCACATTTGCCACAGCTCCCTTAGGACGTGCAGAACCACTTCTCTGCCCCAGTCCTTACCTCCTTCCCTCGACCCCCCCTTCCCCGTTTCCCAGGGCAAGTGCCCAGTATCCTATCACTTACCCCAGCCTGAGAAAAAACCACCAGGAATTTCCTCCTTGGACTGGACCATGCCTCCTGCTGGGGCTCCTCTCCCGGGATGGGGAGGCCCAGGCCAGGTTGTCCTCTGACCCCTGATCAGCTTTCCTGAGCAGAACCTCACTCTGAGCCTGCCTTTAGCATATGTCATTTCAGCTGCACCTTGCCCTCTTCTAGACCTTTCCTCGGGGTCAGTGAGAAGAGCTTGCACTGCAGGTCAGCATGCCCTTGGCCAGGGGTCTCATCAGCTCCCACCTTGGATTTCCCACACAAGGAGTTGTGTTGGAGAAGGTTCTGGATAGAGTCTCAGAGCACCCTGTGCTGGGCCCCAGCTCCTGAGAGAAACTGCTGAAAACCAGGGGCTCTAATCATCAGAAATACGTCCACTTCCATTATTCCCCCATAAGCCTAACCCTAAACTTACAGACCCACCATGAACACTTGTGGCCCCGACTAGGAGCTGGAGACAGAGTTGGCTGGAGGTCCCCTTCCGACGGCCCTGGGGAGACCGCCACAGAACGTACCCGTTTAAAGGACTTGCCACAGACCAACTCCTGGACGCCAGCATCACATAGATCAAAATTCCTTCTCTACAAAACCACCCAGAGTTGAAATTCCTCTTGAGTTTTTACAGCCATGAATGTTTCCAAGGAAAAGAAAGAGAACAGGATCTGACCCAGGGAAGCCTGTGGCTCAGAACACATCCAACCACTCCCTCCGAACTGACCTCCTCACCCACAAGCAGGGGAGAGGCAGGGGAGTCTAGTGGTTAGGAACAAGGTCTGGACTCAAGAGATGTGGGTGGGAACCCTGGGGTTACCTCTGCCCGTGTGATCTGGCCTATGTGACATCATTTAATGGTTGTCTTACTTTTCTCCTGTAAAGAGGGGGTTAATGACACCCGTACGGGGTTATCGTGGGGACTCACTGAAATCATCTACGCAGACCTCCTGCCTCCACGCTGCCACATCGGGTGCACTCGACGAGCACCCCCTCCAACCTAATCAGTCCCTGACAGAGTCAGCTTTCAAAACCATCCCCACACCCGTCCACACATCTCAGATACAATCAATGGAAAGCTGTCAAGGCTCAAGACAGATAGTCAAATCTGTCCCCGCTGGGACGCGCATCCTCCCGGGACCCCTCGCCGGTGTGCTGTCCAGCGGGTCTCCTCTCCTCTCCCCCCTCCCCCGACACTCAGCACAAAGGCTCCCAGCCCCCACACCACCCCCTACCTGCGGGCTGAAACCAATCAAGTCCTGAGCAAATATTCGAGAAAGCTCCTTTCTGCGGGGGGCGGGGGGATGGGGGGTTGGGGGAGAAGACTTGCCAAGTGGGGAAGTCGGGGGCCCGGCTCCTCCTCGGCGGTTCCTCTCCCCCTCCGGGGGCTCCTCTGCCCCCCTTCTCCTCATTCTCAGGCTTCCCCTCTCCGGGTTGCTCGGGCAGCCGCATCAGGGGTCCAGGGCGAGGTTCTCAGGGAGATTTGTGAGCACATCAAGGGAACGTCAGCGGGGACGCTGAGACTCTGCAAGGAGTTGACAGAAACTTACTGCCTGCACAGTGCGGGTTGATTATTTACTCAAAGTCAGTTGCCTAAATAATTCACACCCTCCCTTCTGTGTCTAAACAGGACAATGGTAGAAACACAATCCTGGCACAAGAAATATAATTACAGTTGTGACACATGTTTAGTTATTAATATGGCCTCCATGTCACCAGAGGGTATTACACAACCACCCAGTAATGTGCCTTTGGAACCGACCTTAATGTTTACAGGTACTTTTCCAATCATGCTCCCGTGGGCTTTGCTGTGGTGTCAGTGATGTGGAGGGAGCTCCGGCAGCCAATGTGATTGCAACTTGCAAGAAAGCCCGGGACCTTGCCAGCATAATTTGTTTCCTTGCTGTTGACATCAACAGAGCCACAGAAACAAAGGGGGGGTCAGAGGGGTGGGCAGAGTTAGACACAGCCGTCTAATGGAGAGACTCCTGCCAAAGCTCTTAAGCTTGCAACGCTGCTCACCATCCCGGGGCAACATCATCCTAACCTCCTGACACAAAGCAAAGAGCATCCCAGACTGAGTGTCCCGTACCAGCTCTGGTCCAGACTTGCTTTCTGTGTGTGTGGAGTCTCTGGGTTGGCTTGATGTCACCAACCCAGTGGTGACCTCCTCTCTCCCTCTCTCCCTCCCTCTCTCACACGGTCACGCTCACACATGCTCTCTATCTCTCTCCTCCCCCTCCCCAGACATCTGGTTAACCCCTCTTTGTCCTTCATGACTCTGCTCAGGGTAAGGCACCTGGCTGGGTTAAGGCATCCCTCACGTGTACCTACATCTGTTGTGGTCCATGGTCTCTGTCCTTCTCTTCTCCCAACACTGCATTGAGAAGAGCTGCAGGCAGGGAATAATTCAGACGCCTATTGAGTCATCGGGGATAACCTGAAAATGACTGGTGCTCAATGAACACTTTTTTGCGGCTGTTATTATTCGGGGGGGGGGGCGGTTAATGGAGGTACCAGAGATTGAACCCAGGACCTCATGCATGCTAGGCACGCACTCTACCCCTGAGCTAGACCCTCCTCTCTAATAAACACTTACTGAACTAACATTTAATCAATTTTGGTTCTCGGTGGTTCCATACTGAAATTTAAAAAATAGTAATAAAACAAAGAATCTCAAGAGATGTGAAATCCAGAGAGGTGAACTGGAAGGACCGTGATGCAATGAACGCGCCCTGGCCACTGCGGATGGAGCCCTCGCCTGAGAAAGCTGGCCTGTGAGGAGGTGTGCCCATGGCAGCGGGCACCGGCCTCTCCCCGAGACAGGCAGAGGGGCCTCCACCCCTCACAGCTCAGCCCCTGCACGTCACATCCTGGGAAAAGGCT